CTTTTTAAAGTTAAATACCCAAACGCGTATCTGAATCGAGAATCAACGGGTTTGGTTCTTTTCTCGATTCTAGATCAAGAATTGAATCTTCCTAATTTTTTTACCTTGAATAAGCCAAATTATTTTGTTTTTTCTAAATAAATTTGCTAACTAATTAATTTAACCCAAACCCAAAATATGATTTTCTTATTTCTAATTCAATGTCCAAGCCCAACTTAATCAAACTGACCTAAGTTTTACTAAAATCTTTTATTCTACCGCTGCGTCTTTCTTTATTATTGTGAGTTCACTATCTTTCTCTTCTTTCGATTTTAACAGCCAAATTTATGAAGAACTCAATAAAGATAGGCGCAAAAGATATTACGGATTAGAATACGTTGTAAGAGTTAAAATTGAACATGTCATTAGTTGAATTAATGTAGCGTTGTTGTAAATATTAAAAAATTTAATATTTGTATAGAATTCGGGAACTGAACCCGAACGGTTTCATAATTAAATTTAGATCCGACGATTCCATTTATTAAATACTCGAAAATTCGAGTTTTAGAATCGAATCAAATCAGACCATGTTCAGCTATAATCATATCTTTGTGCACTTCCAATTGGTGTAAATTACATTATAAGGAAAATGTAGATGATGTTCAATACCTATAAGAGTTGTCTTGTGTAAAATGTAGGGATGGTAAAGAAGTGGAATAGGATTGGAGCAACCATTCTCATCTCTCATCCGTCAGATATTTTTGGAACATTGCCTTGCTTTTATACTCGGTTAAGGCGGGACGGATCGAAACGGAATCTGTCCCATCTATTTATTGCTTTTGTTTTTCTCATATCTATAGTTGGTGAAAATCATTTTTTTTCCAATTTATTAAGAATAACTTATGTTCCTTTTAGAACGGATAAATATTTTTTTATTTAATAAAAAAGTTAAATTTGAAATGGACTTTAAACGAGGTGAGGATTATGTTCCACATACTCGCCCGGATTCGGGTTTAACTAATTTTTTTTGCTTTCTCTAGTTAAAATTAGGATTCAATGTCAACTTCTTTAATGTTTTGACTTGCAAATATCAAAGTCAAAATTTATTCGGCCCGCGTATTAAAATTAGGATTCAATGTCAACTTCTTTAATGTTTTGACTTGCAGATATCAAAGTCAAAATTTATTCGGCCTGCGTTTGATTTTTTTAAAATTACTTTTTCAAACTGATTTTTAATAATACATTCTTCTAATAAAATAGTTTTGCTCGTTGATTATTAAATTTTTCCTAATTTTGAACCAATCATTTTTCAAAAAAAAAAAAACACTACTCAATAATTTAAAATCAAACAAGTGCGTAGTTTAAAATGCACGTTGACACTTAAATAAATAAAT